CTTCCTTCCTTCCTTCCTTCCTTCCTTCCTTCCTTCCTTCCTTCCTTCCTTCCTTCCGGCAAAGCTCGGGCGCTTAGCAAAGACTTGGTGGCAAAGCCAGGCTTTTCCTGTCCTACAACCTACAACTGAAAGGGGACGTCACAGCACTGAGCCACCGCCAAAGCAATCCGTAGGGAGAGTCCCCTGCAGCTCTTGGCCTGCGTCCAGGCAGGAGGGCGGCCGCTGGCAGGCTCCAGACCCCCCTGCTTCTGCTGAAATGGCCACTCTCTGTTCTGGCTCTGCCGAGGTTGTGCTCCGGCCAAAAGCAGCTGAAAGGTCAGTGGAATCCCGTCAAACCCACGAGGCATTTTGTCCCCGGCCGGCGAGTGACCGACGTTGGTCAGCTCAGCAGCCCACGCTGAGTGGGCGCCCGCCTGGCACTGGTCTCGCCTGGCACCCAATCTAAGAGGGACGAGCCCTGCAAAGAACATCTCCTTTTCCCGTGCGAGATGAAAACCCGGACCGCACGCCTCTCCATGCACAAGCACGGGTTGAGGGTGACCTGTGGCCGTCCCAAAAGCGGGGAGCGCCATCGGACAAGCCGGAGCCCGGCCAATGCTGGCCCGGCCGATTGTGGGGTTGAGACGAAGCATGGGGGACGGAATGACATTAAAATTAGCTCTAGGGGCAGAAAGATCGAAGTCTGTCATCAGCACCTAATTCTAGCTATTTAGGGAAAGAGCAAGAGAACCGAAAAAGGACAGGGTATAAGTCATGGGGCGATCGCTTGAACGGACAAGCCGGTTTTGCGTGCACTTTGCTACCAGTCATCGTGGGTTGAGGATCATGAGAGCTAGAAACTTAGGTCCAGACGGATATGTTCCGGTTGGATCCCCAGATCAGGGAACGGAGGAGGAGAACCTCTCTGTGATCAAGTCGCTGGACAAACGTCGCCCTGTTGCTCAGATCGTGCTGCGCTGTTGGCTGGAGGGGCTGGGGACGATTGGGGTTGTAGTCCGGCCTCTCCAGAGGAGAGCTGGAGAAGGCGGCTGGAAAAAGAAAACGCAAACCCTCGGAAAAAAAGGAGGAAAAAAAAACCCATATCAAGCAAAGCCTACTGCTAGCACCAGCGTCACTCATTCACACATCACGCAGAACCCAGGTTTAAA